AGGCAGCTACAACACTCAACTCATTGTTGGCACAATCAATGCCAACATTACCAGAACAACAAGACAACATAAATGAACTTGCGGAAATTAAATCAACATTAGTTGTTCTTCGAGGTCACCTCGAAGAACTTAAAGTGACAATGGCAGCAATGAATAAGATAGACGAGGAATGGGCTTCGGCTCTTTCTCACGCAACGGAGATAGATAAAGTTCGTGTGTTTAGAATCTACGATAAAGACCAAGAAGATTATCAGTGTGAAGTTATTATGACTAAAGCCTTGGAGGCAAGAAGATGTTTAATGGGGCTTATAGGTAAATTTACAGCAAGAGAAGTAGTATTAGAATCAACATGTAAGGGGAGTAATTCCACAACAATTTTGAATCGAAGCATGAACCAAACGTACCAAACACTGAATCAAACTGTGCAACCAGTCTCTCTTCCTATTTTTTCTTCACCAAAGAAATTCTCAGGCAACATTCGACACTGGCGTGAGTTTATTGAATCCTTTAATGCAACGGTCGGAAATTCTAATATTGAACCAATTTATAAGTTCAATCACCTATTAGGACTTTTTGAAGGAGAAGCGTTGAACTTAGTCCGTTATTTCAGGCCTTCGGCCGATAACTACAAGATAGCATTGGACATGCTCAAAGAGAAATATGATGATAAGGAAGCAATCACCGACGACTTGATTCAACGATTCCTTGCTCTAAAACCCTGTTGGTCGTTTTCAGACGTCCGACAATTTCAACTTGAAATGAAATTGATTTGTAGACAACTCGAATATCTCGGAGCCGAGTTGAATAATACTATCATTTGTTCTTCTTTGGAGGACAAATTAAATTATACAATATTAAAGGAAATCAAGGAAGCCAAACGTAATAACCCAGCATGGAACACGAAAATTTTCAGAGACAAATTAAAACAACTAGTCCAAGAGGAGATATCTTACAAAATGGCTTATGGTCTACAACATGAAACAAAGACTTCTACTAAAGGTAGAGATACAGAAGCCCGTCCTTAGGTTAGGGCCAACTAAAAAACTAAGTCGGTATCTTTTCTAAGACCGACATGAACAAACAACTATCAAATAAAATTGATTCTTCAGCATCAGAATTAAAAGAAATCTCGGAGACCAACAACCCAACTCATCTTGGCAGCTTTATCCACAACTACTTCCAGAGTGTTACGTTAGTCTTATCTCGTTACTGGCTAACAGCGAATATTGCGACAAAATAAAGACAACACTATCCATTAATTACACAAAATGAAACATCTCTCTATGCAACATGGAATAAATACAAATACGGAACAATCAGGTAAGGTAAGTAAATTTAATTTTAATATTTAATTTCAAATTATCTTTCCTTTGTTTCATATTTATATTTATCTATTAATTTTGTACCCATTATTTGTAATTTATATAATTAAATTTTTAAATTCATTATGTATTTTTTAATTTCAAATTCAACTCAACACACTTGATCAACATTGGCCAGAGAATGCTATTAACCTGGATTGGACAAACTACAACAGCTTCACTGTAAATTGTGTAGACAAGAGAAGAAAAGATATTAGGCAAATAATGTAATTATCTGTCAATCAAAATTAAGTCCTCACATTTAATTGCGAGGACAGCAGGAGAAAAGAAAAGAAAAAAAATTTTTTTGGAAAATAAGAAATGGAAAGAAAAGGATATTTGCAATCAATATAATTATTTGTGAAGAATTCACGTTCTCATAGTTCTCTATGTGAACAACGGATGCGAAAATTATTGGATAAATTGTAACAACTTTAACATTGTAACTAATGGTCCCCACAGTCTTCTGTGAAGACAAAACAAACTCAATAGTTGGAATCAACGGACCAAGCAACATTTAAATTGTTGTTCTCGCAGTCTTCTGCGCGGACAACAGAAGCAAAAGGTATTTGAAAAGAAGTGTAGCCCTAGGAAATTTAAACTAATCGTCCTCACAGTTCCCTGTGTGGACAAATTTTCTCAACAACGAGATTATAAGATTAAAGTTGTCGTCCTCACAGTTCTGTTTGGACAAATAAATGATATGAGTAAAATAGTGGAATCATCTCTACATAAATATTTCATGTCCTCACAGTTAGCTGTAGGACCGCATAATGGAAAGTCATCCGAATCAACATACAACTACATAGAAAACGAAACTCGTTGACAAAAAATCCTCATCAACGGAAAAGAATGGAACATCTATGTTATACGTCTTCACAACTCACTCTGTGCAGATAAAAGAATTCAACTCAATAAGAATAGATGAATGACCCAAACATGTCCGGAAGCTACGCTTACCGGATTCAGAAAGAACAATTGTAATAGATAAAACTCGTAATTGTGCTAATCAATAGTTGTGACTTTTGAACTTCAGTCTATACATTCAAATGTGTGGACAAATAAAAAGGGATTCACTGTAATTTACATCTAATAAATTCGGACAAATTACGCAACAATTTATGTTTGATTGTTCAATCAATTCATGGTTTGCATATTTGCAAAATATAGTTAATTGAAGTTCGGAAGCTCCGCTTATCGAACAGTTGAGTAAATGGATTGACTTGAAACTTTTTATCTGCAACATCGACGAGAATCAATAAAACAAGTAAAGTATTTGTTTTTTAAAACAACAGAAAACGAATATGAAAATATTCTTATATTTTTCTATTTCTCGAAAGGGGGGAGAAGATAGAGAAGTGGATCTTTGCTTGAAGCCTTCTGCAGTATCCATAAATCGATAGACAATCAAGCAACATTCCCTTCAAAGGATATCTTAGAAATTGGAAATTTGTCCGTTGAACTACGTTCTCGGACATTTGGAAATAAATTTATGTGTTTGAGAAATACAACAAAAAATAAATTCAAATGGAGATAAATAAAAGGAAAATTTTGAAGTTAAGTTTATTTTGAGGATTAGTTTCTGATGATCCTCATTGGCAAGTTTTAAGGACTACTTAGGAGATTGATCATACACAAACACAGAAAGGAATTGTAATACAACAGGCACAATATGGAATTGGCATCTTCTCGAAAGGGGGGAGTGTGTCGGAGACCCGACAATGAAAGCACTTGCTTTATTGGGAAATAAATTTCTTTTCCCTGATTATTATCGAGGCGTATGGGAATTGGTTTTCCCCGTAATTTTGATACACTATACCCGGTCCCGCACCTCCAGAAAAGGAGATTTTGTTGTGAAATACTCCCGCTAGACTACAATAAATATTGTCAATCTCTCTTCGAGTGATTGTCTTTCCCACACAAACATATTTATGGAAAGTTTATAGTCAAGTCACATCTCTCAGAGTTTGTGACTATTAACCTTTCTAGTAATGGATTAATTTCCGCTATGTCGAAACTCTCAGAGTTAACGACTTTAATTCAACTGGTGATCAAATGGCTCTTCTAATCAAATGGCTATGTCGCTCACTCTCTGAGAAGCGACCTTTGCTCAATGGGCAAATGCACAGAGCCGCGAATACTCTGCATGCTCTGGCCTGGTCTATTTAAAGAAAAGAAGACTCTTCACAAGGAATCATTAATAGGAGGAATAATGTGATTCACAATTAATTTTCCCTTTCCTCCCTTCCCTTTTTCTTGTCCCTTCCCTTTTAAATAAACTTATAATTTTATTTATGTATTTTTAATATGAATGTATTTTATTAATTTAAATAAATTATTTCTTAATTAGTAATTATTCTTGAATTAAAATTAGTAATTAATTATTAAGTACTTCAATTATTATAACGAGTCTTCCCGCCCAATTATTTACTTTAAGGTAGCCTCAACGACTAAATTCCCGAGTTTAGGGGTTCTCCCCGGCTCATAGGCACCAGCAAGCCCGGCAAAACAAAATGGTCAATTTACTGGATCCAACGTCTACTCATCTTTGGCGGCAACTTGCCAAACTTACGTCGCAGGCCCTCGGGTCTGCGACACACTGGGTCTGGGACCGTTCCTTACCCTATCCTTCGAAATTTCTGAAAGTTATAGCCAATTTTTAAAAATTTCAGAAAAACGATTTTAACTTTTAGAAATTTCGAGGTATAGGGTAAGGAATGGTCCCAGACCCAGTGGACGTAGATCCCGAATATGAAGAAATGCTTTGGAACCATACCCCTACTTTGTAACACCAAGAAATATTCAATTTTTTGTTGATGGGACGCATATACTTTCATGGGACGCATAAACTGGACAAGAGCCAAAGTGCATTGTTATTTATTAATAATTTTGCCTGTGATTTATGATTCTCGCACTTTAATCAAAGACATCGCCGTCTAACGCACTTTAATCAAAGAGATCGCCGATTAATTTTTTCGATTTTAATTTTAAGAGTGCAGGCAATGTAAAGCCTTGTATTTTTAAAGTGCAATTGCACTCTACATATGTTTAACGATATATTTAAGAGACTTATAAATGGAAAAGCGATTCATTTTTTAAGTTAATTTTTTTTATTTACCTTAAAAATATTGTCCTTATAGTTATAAAGGCCTTGAAGCTTTTCACGTAATTTTTCATGAATTGCTGCAACTTATAAAATTTATCCTTGAGCGTCGAGATCTTGTTTAAAATTATTCTACAGAAAGAGTTTGCAAAAGTTTAGCCACCGGGCAGGAACCTGCAACCACCTGCCAGTTGTTGCTAGGTGCTTTCGCTCACTATATGCAGAAGCTCTACCTCTGAGCTACCGGGGCATCGACTAATGCTTTCTCTTTTTCCTTTCTAGATCGTTTAACCCCCGCCTAAGCGTTTTAAATGCTGCTAGGTGAATCATCCCTACACTACTTAAATTTTATTCAACAAGATCTTGCAGCCTTGACGACTTTACTGATAAGCTTTGCTTTAACTTTACAGATGCTTTGTCCTTTTTTTCTATTTTGTATATTCCTACGCGTTACACATTTTCAAAAAAATACAAAATATTTGTTTTAAAATTTAAAATTTAGAAAAATTTTTCATTTTTCTTTAATTATCTTCGAAATGATTCTAAATTTTATATGTAATATAATTTACTTCACCTTGATATTCAATTTCACTTTTTCAATGATAAATAATTCGTTTGATGATAATAGTAGAAACATCGTTAATAGTAATCAAGGCGTTGTGAGCAAAAGTTTTCGAGGCCTTAAATTTGGACAGACTCAAGATTTTGGAATGATGGACGAAGATGATGAAGAAGAAGAGTTAGGAAATGACATTCATTTAACACCATTTAATATGAAATCTGAAACCAGGGTAATAATCTCAAATTGAAATTTTATTAGAAGAGGTTTAATAAAATTTTATCGCAGAAAACTAAAACTAAATAATGAAAGAACACTGCGTTCTGTACAGCCTAGGCGATAACCAAAAAATAGATAAACCAATTTTAGCTGTTTTAAACCCAGAGGTTTGGTTAGTAAGGGTATGGATCCGAAAAACGCCGGATATCCGGAAAATTTCGGTTTGGATACCTGATCCAGATATCCGAAGATTTCCAACTATCCGCCAACCTTATTAGTAAGGTCCGAATGTATAAGATTAGCATAATAATATTAGTTTGGTTTAATTCTCAATATTTTTATAGAAAGGTACTTCAAGCTCATCATTCAAATCGAAAAATGATTTATCAACTTCATTTAAAACATCGGTAATTATCACATCTTTTTAATTTTCCTTCAATTTAATTTTTATAGGAAGGTTCTTCAAGCTCATCATCTCACTCAAGCTATCGTTCTCGCAAATCAAAAGACAAGCATTTGGTTGGGTATACTATTAAGGAAGGTACCGGCTTTAATGAAGAATATAATCCTTATAAACCAACGACACCTGAAAGAGCTCCTGGCAAACACTATAATTATGACCTGAATGAGAGTTTCAAAAAGAAGAATAATGAATGCTGTATTATTCTTTGATATTCCTGAGATTTTTTTTATCTTATTCAGTAATTTTACTATATTTCTAATTTAACATCCACTAGTTGTGGTCAAACTTGTTCACTAAACTTGACTAATTTATTCAAGTTCATCTTGTATGTAACATCTTTTCAAAAATTTAACACTTTACATAAATTTCTTTTAATTTTCATCAAAGTATTTACAAAGAGTAAAGCAGCTGGGCTATAGCTATTTCTCTCCTTTAGCTAGTGCAAAAGGTTAATCCTCAGCTGGGAGCGAACCAGCATCTTCAGTAGACCGGACCGATGTATTAGCCATTACACCACGCCGCCTACTCCACAGCTTTAGGAATTAAATAGCTATATGCTTTACAAAAGTATAAAATTCATTTTAAATAAATACAGCTTCAATAATAATTTACCCATTAAAATTATCTTTTCTGGCCCCAAAATTTTGTTAAAAAGTTTTTACTTGTTTCGCCAGGTGGTGTGAAAGCAAAAGAAGAATATTTATAAGGTGGAGTAGATGGAGAATTGAAACTTTTTGTTCGTGGTATCAAATGTTGCCGCATATCTTCACTAGCTTCATTTGAAGGAGAAATTCTAAGCGTAACATTAATTTTAAGCTCAACGGTCATATGGCTTAGAGACAGAACGGGACGGGATCCATACGGGATTTCGGGATCCCGATCACTAAACGCGGATTTTTTGAGTCTCGGGATCCTTCGTGATCCGGGATTTATCCGGGATAAAAATCCTGAATCGGAATCGCGGAAGTTCGATTTTGTCGGTCTCTAATATGGATCTCATACTTATAAAGAGATTCTACTGAATCTTCACTAGCTTCATTTGAAGACAAAATTCTATGGAAAAAATTAATTTTAAGCTCAACGCTATTATAAAACGATACAGTATCTATATCTATTCATATATCTTATGAAGTCCAACTTATAAGCAGACCCTACCGATTACGGTATATTGTGCCTTATACATATAATCTTCAATTATACCTACCCCATTGAAGAACCTACAGATGGAAGAATGTTTAATGAATAGCGCCGAATTGTATCGGATCGCAATTGTATGTCTTGAGCAATTTCGTTTGTATGTTTGTTTCTAGTTTCTGTAATTCCAAATTTTAATTACGAGGTTGAATAAATAACCTGGTAACAGAAAGTAGACAAAACAAGTACTTATTGCACTCACGATTATGAACGGTAGGTAGCTTGCGGAAACTCCGACCCACTAAAATATGAATTATCAAATTTATCAATTTTAGTACTGATCTCTTTAGTTCGATCAGAGGAATCGTTTAATACTAAATTTGCTAAGATTCGGAAATCTTGAAGCAAGTTATGGCTTTGCGCCTTTATGACCGCGTGACTACCTGGCTGTACCCTGTTAAATGTGTATACGACAATGAGGAGCTTGTACATATCAATGAATAATAAGATCTTAATATTAAGATATGGAACCATGGACTTTAATCCTACATGGAATAAATAAGGATGAAGGTCATCTGTACCTGTTTAAATGGTAAATAAGCCAGCGATATAATAAATACAAGGCTCCAAGCTACTGAAATTGCTATAGTAACAGCACTTGAACGATACTATAATTTAATATGTCAAATCATTAAAATTGTTAAAAAACTTTAGTTGGAAATATTTCGCTTGCAATCATCCAAGGTATTGGACTTCCAATTCCATAACCACACATGTAAGCAAGTAATGCGGCAATTGCACCATAACTAGCCAGCTTTATCTAAATTAGATTTAGAATAATTTATAATCTAACGAATTTTTTCAAAACAAATTCTAACGTTATAATAAGCTTGTGCCCATGTAAATATGCTCATAGCCGTTAACGAAGCAGTTACTGTACTCAGCTGGAAAAGTGATAATACTCGTCGTCCCTTTCGTTCTATAAGGTGAACTGATGAACATGCAAAAAAGAAGTAAATTATGCTGATCCCAAGGGTGCTGAATCGTGCAATTTGACTGAAAATAAATTTTGATAGTAAGTTCCGACTGTTATAAAGTCTTACGGCTCGAGGCCGGCATTTAAAAACATATTGGTAGAATAGGCAAAGATTGCAGCTGCACCAGTAAATTGTTGAGCAACCATTACCCATACGCAGATTATTAATGGCATTCGTAACTCTTTGCTTGTGAATAAATAGGAGACGGATATATTCTCATTGGTCTAGAAATTTGAATTAAATTGGATTATTAAATACTAAGTAAATTCGATCAACTAACATCCGAATTGGTTTTCTCCCTAATTAGATCTTCATACATTTGTTGGCCCTCATGAACATCCACTAATCTTCCAATATCGTTTAATGTTGCAATTCTATCTTGTTTGATTAATAATGAAAACTAAAACTTATTTTCCCAATTCAGAATAATTCTTAAACCTTTGGACTTTCTGGGCAAAATGGCAAAATACAGCAGAGCAAAAAGGCCGTTATGCCGGGAAATCCGAAGGCTATAGGCCATGTTTCGTCTCCACCAAATACCTAACAAAATCCCTATTAAAGAAAATTTGTTATTAGACCTCAGGTAATGCCAATAACATCGAGAACCAGTCAGAAAATGCAACAGCAACCTTGAAACCAAGCGTAGATAATTACTATTATTTATGATTATTTACCATATGGCACGTGCCCGCAGATCCTCGATATTTTGTCGGAGTTATCTCCATTAAATACATTGGAACAAGACCAGATGTAAGACCCATATTCACCCCAAGTATTATTCGACCAATGACGAGAATCTTAAATTAATTAGGCTTTTGTACTAAATTTTTAAATCAAACCTCTGGAGAGGATAATGGTTTGGCAAGGTATTCCAATAAAGCTCCAATCACATTAAAAATTCCATTAAATATTAATCCGTTTCTGCGTCCTAATCTTTTTGATAATGGCCTAAGATTGTGCTTGAAAAACTTGTAAATTAATTTAAATTAAATACTTTGTAGAAAGCGCACCAAAAATAGCACCTATGGCAACGCATGAAACAATCATTGACCATACCATATTCAACTCTGCTTCACTCTTTAATTCACCGCGCGAAGAATATGTTTGATTCAACCATTTTATGAGCGTGCTAATTTGTAAATTTAATTTATTATTATAAATTATTAAATTTTGATTCTGCTGTTCTCGATAACCGGGATTTTGAACTCGATCTTGTTCCCTAGTTATCACTATATTAATTTTAACAACCCGAGCATATTCCCCGTTACGAAGAGATTGGCGTTGATGTTTAATTTAGAGATCGGCCTGGATCTGAATCCAGACCTTGATTTTTACCTGAATCTAGGGTCAATTTCAAAGCATCTTTCAATGTTCCTCGATTTTTCCTAGACGTAATTACGTAATTATAGGGTAATTATTAGGTCTAATATTTGATCAAGGTCCTCGACCATAAACAAGAAAGTATTTCTGATCTCTAGTCATTTTAATTTTTTAAATACCCACGTCTGAGCTGGATTAATGACATCATATCTTAATAAAAGTAATCATTATGATTTGGAAAAATAAGTAAATTATACGTATAGAACTGAGCCGATCCTCCAATTATTACAGTTAAAACCGAGACATAATAAGTAAATGTAAACATAATTTATATTTATTACCAACTGTGTAAATAAATGAAATTTGGCAATAAGCAACAAAATCAATTTTGTCTGATAATAGTGGGAGTAATTGGGCAAAAATAGGGACAATTGTAATGTCCGCAAAATTTTATCCGCAAATAAAATTAAAAAATCTAGTGATCAAAGGTCACAAAACCAAACATTAAATTTCATTCCACAGTGAAAAATTTAATTATGAACTGTCAAAATTTTCATTCACATTTAATTCATGACAGATTTTACTTGTTTATATTTAATGTTTCTTATCAGTTTAAGGTCGAGGAACCCATTAAAACGCATAAAAATGTTCCAAAATTAGATTTCAATTATAAATTTGGTCAAAAAGGCAAAAAATTAAGTCTCGATAGGTCTTTTTTAGAAATTTTAATGATAGTTTGATAAAAAATAAATTGATATTATTATTGAACTCTGAGTATAAACACTTGTCAGCTCAATATCTGCTTACGATATAAGACAATTACATAAAATATAAATTCATAAATGCATAATATATAATAGTTGAATAATTAAGTTCTAAATGATAGAGAATTTTGTATGTTTGGCTTCTCTGCAAATTGCATAAATTAGGTTTTGAATGTTTTCTGAGTCTGAGTTTTAAGAACGAGATAATTTTTTAACATTTAGAGTCAGCCTATCAACTTAATCACTAATTTGATAATACCACGGTGATCAAAAGTAATTAAAAAATAACTATCTGAAAATTTATACAAAACTTGAAAAAGTCAAATCTTGATGTGAAATAATAGTGAGAATAGCCGTATAATTATGTACTAATTTTCGCCATTTTTAAACTGTGCCATTTTCTTGTGTTCTATAAGTAAAAAATGTTAAATAAAATTATATTTTGATTATGTGGGTCAGAGTAATTGAATACCCCTATATTAACCTACCTTAACAATGGAGTTGTCTCATCACAAAATCGAGTATCCTTTACTGGTTGAATTCGCATTGGTGATTGACCGCTAGTTAGTGATCTGGCCCTCTGTCGGATTTCCCGAACAATGTCCATTGCTTGTTTGCCTCGTGTTTCTATAAAAATTAGAAAGGAATGCAATTCGCGTTTAATGTTCGAAGTTCAAAGAACCTGGTAAAACCCAATATACAAAAACAGCTCCACATCCACTGACAATAATAAAAGGTACATAGCTTAATGAATTGCCAACAAGCTAAATTAAGTTATCTTTTTATCAGCCCATTAAGTTGAAATAAGAATGTTAGCTTATACCTGCTGAAAAGGTAGATAACACGTAGAGACAACAAAGGATAAAGACCAGGCAACGGAAACCGCGACTAAAAGGATTTAATAAGAACATGAGCTTTAGAGATAAATCTACCAGTAATTGCAGAAGCTCTGTATTTGGTAGGAAATAATTCTCCAGTTATTAGCCATGGTACTGCGCAACCAATACCGTATACACACATGTAGAAAATTAGAGCACCTATGGTAGCATAGCCAGCCCAAACATGCTAAAATAGGTAAATATGCTATTTCTAGCTTTTTATGCCAAATTTACCCCTCCAAAATTTTGTAGCCACATAAAGAAGCTGAGAAGTGTGAGTGATAACGAGCACATTGATAATTGAAACTTAAAAACGTGTGAATCTTTTAATTATAAAATTATTTACGATCAGAAGAATTCTCCGTCCGGCGCGTTCAATCAAAAAAGGGGCAGTTAATGCAAACAAAAAGTACGCTATTCCAACAGCTAGAGTGCTGAATCTTGCCATTTGACTAAAAATTTGAGTTAACATTAATTTAGTTTCTATTAAAAGTACTAACCCTCTAATTCCTGCATTCAAAAACATATCTGTCGAATAGGCAAAAACAGCAGAACAACCCGTAAATTGTTGAGTGATCATTACCATAATAGAGATTAGTAGAGGTACTCGAAGCGAACGCTCGGTGAATATTTGTTTATATGTTCCTGGGCCTTCCTAAAATAATGTTCGACTGTCTCATTTAGAGTTAGGCTTGGACTCACATTAATCATTATAGCTTCACGTTCCAAAGCTTCAAACATATATTCCGCCTCATTATCGTCTACAAATCGTTTTAGATCTAAGACAGCCTTTGAAGCATCTCCACGCGTGAAGAGAGTAAACTTAAAATTATCGGGTCCATGTATTACGATTTTAGTTTCCATCCATACCTTTGGACTTTCAGGACAAAATGGAAGAATACAACAAAGCATGAGTGCAGGAATGCCTGGGAATGCAAATGCTAGAGGCCAACTTTGCGTGTTTCCTAGAATCTATATGTACATTAGAATTTTTGATAAAAATTGTCTAAATATGAGTTAAGATTTAATTCAATTCATCACCTCAGGTAATCCGATAAAGAGTGAAAACCAATCAGAAAATGCAACTGCCACCTTTGAAGTTAATAAGGATTTTTAAACTAATGTTGCATATGACAGACCATATGAAGAGTGCCAGCCGCTCCTCGATACTTTGTAGGAGTGATTTCCATTAAATACATAGGCACCAACCCTGTCTTAAAATTGAAAATGTAGTAAAGACTGAAAGTCCCATAATAAAGACCGAAAGTCCCATTACTGCTCCAAGTACCAGCCGACCGAAAATTAGCAACTCAGGCGATGCCATCGCTTTAGAAAAGTATTCTAGTAGAGCACCAAATACATTAATCCATCCATTGACGATGAGTGCATTTCGGCGACCAAAGCACTCAGACAGACGCATAAAATAAAAATTTTTTTAGTCTAACATTGAAATTCTGCTACGAAATGAGAGCTCCGTCTAGAGCTCTCATACAGTAAATTCTATACCTTCTTTCTCTCTTTGTATGTTGTAAATAGCTTTTTTAAACTCTCCAATTTTTAATAAATTTTACTAAAAATTATTTCCCAAAATTTTGTACCAAATTACGCGCAATCAATTTTTCTAAATATTTTTTTTCTATTTTATCAGTTTTTTCTATTCTTTGGTGCATAATAAAAAGTTAGCGTTGAAATATGAAACAGAAAATAATTTCTGGCAAGAATAAAATAAAATTTTGTCTATTGATATTTTAATTTCAACGAAATGTGAACTAAGAGGAAGCTTGTTTTAGTAAACATAAAACAGTCAGGTGAATTCCGTGATGGTTAAATTTGAGCTTAAGCTAAACTTAAACACAGATAGATGCTTACCGGACTAATAAGGCACCAATAATTGCGCCAATTGCCACACTAGAAACGACAAACGACCAGAAGATGTTCATGCCAGTCAAGTCTAATCCTGCCCCATTCCTTCTGATATAAGTTTCATTAATCCATTCTGTTAAGAGCTCTAAAATTGAGTAATCTCTTTTGATACTTGGCATCCAAATTTTAAAAAATTAAAGCCAACCCTGTACAGGATTAATAATCCCAAAGCTGTAAAATTGTGTGCTTGCTCCAAGGCAAACTGTAAAAACAGAAATATAGTAAGTCGGATGAAACATTATTTCCACAATAATATTCAAAAAATTCAATAAAGAAAATATAAAATTCGTTAATATAAATTAATTTATTTTTGAAAATTCATAACAGCAATTCAGAGCAATTTGTAGATTAAATATAACTCTTAATGGAAATCTAAATATTTAAGTAAAAGATTTTTGATTATTATATACTATGTACATACAGGTAGTAAATTACATAAAATTGCATTAGAAGCAATTTCTGATAAGAACGCATAACAGGGAACTTGCTTTTTCGAGGAGGCAGACAATAGAGTCCATAAAACAAAATTTTTATCAATGGTAATAGTAAAAAAAATTACAGGAACATTCGAGATAAAAATTGAGGACAAAATTTTTTAGAGAAAACGGGGATTTAGTTACATAATTTTTCAGGGATCATCATTTTAGGGTAGATATGTTTAAACAAACGGTATACGATGAAGGAGTTTGGTAATATACTTCGGCTGAACCCCCTCTTTTTTCCATTTTTTCTAATTTTCGTTATGGCAAATAATACATCATTCTAAAGAGCTCTTTGAACTGAAACGAATGGCCTAAAATCAACGAAATATGCTCGGAAGAACAAAGCTATGACCATTTGGGGTACACCCCCAACTTACCGCGAGCCCAACTCGTCGCAGAGCTATAACTTCGTTCAGAATTGTCGAATCCGGGGCACCCTGGTATAGTTCGATTCAGCTCGTCGAGACGCATCGAATCATACCAAGGCGTACCGGATTCGGCAATTCTGAACGAAGTTATAGCTCTGCGACGAGTTGGGCTCGCGGTAAGTTGGCCTGCTCCCGACCATTTGATTTAATCCCTTACAGCGGTACAAAAAATGGGCAGGGAAACAGGAAAAAAGGTGGAGTGTCAGCCGAAATATAACCAAGAGTTTTTACAAAATTCGCTCACTAAGATGCTCATGACTAGAATTTTTATATCTGAAAATTAAAAATTTTCTTCCATAGTCGGCTTCAATTGTTTTGAGTTGGATTTTTTGAAAGGCTTTTTTACAAGCTTCATTAAGCCTTTGACTGGATCCACTAGTGTTCGAAGCAAATGACGTGAGATAACTTCAGGTTTTCGTTGTTCAGGTAATACAAGTTTAGACTTAGTTGAATGTGGCTTGTAATTTTGCTCGTTTGATCGCTTAAAATCATCTAAAATAAAATATTAGAATAGTTTCATGCATATAAAAAAATTAAGAACATCGAGTAAGGAAAAACTTCTGTTATTGCATACTTGGCCTTTTCGTAACCTTTAAGCCCTCTTTTAAGACCTTAAAATATTATATTCTATCCCAAACTTCATATAAGTAATTAACCCAGATTTCAGCTGCAACCCTTCTAAAAATCTTCCGTTTCAGTTAATGAAAAATGATAAATTACTTTTAACAGAAATATATTTTACCTGTCTTTAATGATAGTCGATAGCCAGTATGTTGAAGATTTGGGTACACTTTTTTAGCTTTTTTTTCTTTTACATAATCTGTTGAATTAATATAGATTTAAAAATTCTAGTTAGTTTGTAAAATTTACGATTTAAAGTTATCAATTCTTACTGTCTCAAATTCTTACTGGAAGGTTCAACTTTACTCTTTTCTAACAAACCCTTTTAGGAATATTGTTTTAGACATTTTTTCAAAAAATAACTAATAGCTACAAACGTATATAATTTTGATTAAGTTTTTATATAAACGTACCATCATTATCTGGAACATGTTTACCATCAAAGAAGTCGATCCGTTTGTCAGATAATTTCTTACTGCGGTGAACATCATCTTGTTTCGGATTTATACTGGCAACAATCGTCAGACCGTCAGTTTCAGTCTCCTCATGATTTTCATTGACATCACTTGCGTCAGTAAGCTGAAGAGCTTCAATATGATGATGAACTTCATTGGCTTTTTGATAATCATTGGGAACACTTGGTTTGGCATCTAAATTTATTCCTAGTTAAGCAACATCACCTTCATCAATGTTTTGGGTAGTTATTTAAAAACCTTACCATTCTCCCTATATTCAGACGAAAAAAGTTCACCAATTGTTATTTCTATGCATTGAATTGTAAATAGAAATAGAATCACTAATATGGAGAAAAACTTTTTATCAATAAATATCATTGATTAACTTAAAAAAAATTTCTAAAATAAAATCACAGCTAGTTAAAAATGATGGGAATTGCCGACTTTCTGCCTGGATGCGCCATTTAGAGGTCTTGACGGTATTACCGTATTTGCTCGATTGATTCCCCTGGGGAATCATTTTTTCAACCCATCCGAGGCATGGGGAATTATTCAAGGGAGGGGAATTATTCAAGTTTTGAAATTTGAACGTATTTTTGGGAGGGGGATTATTGTTTCAACTCATCCGTAGCAGGGGGAATTATTCGAGGGAGGGGAATTAATCGAGTAACTACGGTAACTCAAATTATATTCACAACAAGAGTTTTATTAGTCTTTTACTTAATGTCAGACAGCATTATGAATGATGGATTTTTAAAGGCAAATGAAAGAAATTGGAAATTCGCGTGGATTAATGTATAGATTTTTAATCATATGAAGGAATTCAAATGTAAAGACTATTGACAATAAAAAATTAAGACATTAAAAAAAGTAAAACATTAAGTGTAGTCGTTGGATAGACTCCAAAAACTACAATATGGTTTGCGATAATACAGGAATACCCACCAGGAATGACCCTATGATAAATACCTGAATGCACATCAAGAAAGAGCTTATATTTGCATTAGGGTGGGGGGCCCGATCCGGCCTGGTCCGAAAGATGGAGTCGGGCATCGAATTTTGCCCGAAAAAGACTGGCTCGGGCCGGCCCGATAAGAATTAAACCCGATAAAGACTCGGTCGGGCCCACCCAATAAAAATGAGGCCCGAAAAGATGACTCGAACATCGGCCCGACTCGAAGCGCCAACCCCAATTTTCATATTTCAACTCCTTTCATTCAAAAAGTGCATTTATATTTCTAAAAAGTTGGCATTAAAAAGTTGACATTAAATGTTGGCATTGTGACATTTTACAGTTTGCATCGATCCTGCTTTTTCGGCAAGACTTAATATGCCTAAATTTTCAGTTTAACAAGAACTCTTGATTTTTATGATTTTTATGCATAAACTTTGCTTTTAAGGGAAGGCTTTATTTAAAAATTGGATAAAATTAAAAATCCCTTTATTGTGGTTCTAATCTGGCAACTTGTTTCGAAGAAAGACTGAGCTCCACCTTAAGCTTATGGTGTGTTCTATTATTACTAGAAAAAATTCAATGAACAGAAAACAGATATTTCTTCATTTATCTTCAACATTGGCTATAAATTATGGTTCCAAATCTTTTATGTCTTTGCATCAGAAGGTTGGCATTAGGTCAAGAATTTGTTAACCAACAAGAGACGTTGCAAATTGCATTACCTCCAAAACTATTTGAGATTATTAAAAGATTAAAGGAAGATGTTTTGAAAATTGGTCATCTTCTGCCAATAGGTTTGCGTTCAATAGATTCAGTCCAGGAATTTAGTGAATTAATTAAAATTTTAAGATACACTGCCTGAATGTTGCTTTTTGTTGAATCCCGACACGCTTCAGTTTGATGTTGAGAAAACTGCGATAGCTTCAGAGCCATATCTTTCAAGAGTCAGCCTTTTCGATATCTGTGCAAAGTTGGCGCTAGATCTGGTTAGTAATACATACATAAGTCAATATCCTTCAATGTACTAATTTTTTTGAATTCCATGTTAAATAATCCTAGTTGCGAAAATTATCTCTAACATTTAAGCAAACTGAACGTTTATATGAGAAAATGAATGATTCTGAACGTGATCGAATTGAAGATATGGCACATCGTGAACCTGTTGTTTGGAGCAGGGCTTTGGAATTATCTCCCCGAAGAGTTATACTTCATTATGATGACATTGCTTATAGCTGTGCCGAAAGTGGATATGTGAAAGCATTTGAAAGGTTTCACAGAAATTAATTTTAATTTTATCTGATAATCCGACATTCAAGATATCCATATATAGATTTACTCAATATTTATAGGCTTACCTAATTTTTAATAATTTTTAACAGTTTGTTTCCCTCCTCGAGCCTGTAGAAATTAATATTAAATCTTGTTTTCTCAATTATTTTTAAAGAAATCTCATGAAAGTTCGTGAATTGGATGATTCGAACCTGCTTCAACGCTGCGCACTCGCAGCGATTCTCAATGGTCATGTAAATGTTGCAAATTCAATTAGAACTGATAATTTTTCGGTAGCTTTTCATCAATTCTTTCCCGATGGAAGACCTCCAACTGAATTCCTAGTCCAATTGGTCGTTGGAAATGAGGTTGGTTGGGATTTAAATCCTTGTCAATTTATTATTCAGCTACGACCAGAAGTTGGCGAGCAAATCTTTGAAGAACTCCTTGATTGGCTTACAAAATTGGATGTTCAGAGGCTCAGACGTGAAATCGAAAAGGATAAGAAAATTCCTTTGGGAGTGCTCCAAAGACTTGATTCCAAATACAGAGAGTGTATCGATTCGCGCGATTATCCTTGTGATTATGACTGATAGAAGTTTGTTCTCGCTTATTTGAATTTTGAATTTTACATAATATGTATTTTTAAATGAGAAAGATCATAAAAAATCATTTCGGCTCTTCTATGTATTTTTTTTAATTTGCATGGATACGAAAATGAACCTTCCTATTCTTTTCTATTTTCATTATTAACAAAACAAAAACATCTAAAGCTTAAACAAAAACAATAATCCCACACAAATTTCTAGGTGATTAATCAGCTTTTTGCTTAAAAAAGATCTGATTTTCCCTGCCTATCTTAATGCCTTTGTAGTTAAGCCTTTTGAACATTTTTAAAAAATGAAATCGGAAATAAATCGATCACTCAACGGCCGTTTATTTAGCTTTCTTTTTTAATCACATCCACACTTAGCCCATTATCGCCAAGAGCGGCAGCGACCCAATATTTAGTCCTAGGCGTCAAATGTTTTTTGTGAGTCCACATTTCATGGATAAATCAACAGATGTTTTAAGCACTTTATCCTAATAATTTTCGTTGAAGCGAGGTCAGTTATGTTAAAAATCCAAAGTGATTAGAATTATACATAGTTCTGGTCTCGGTCTCTCTCAAAGAAAATGACTCACCAACTAATTCCTCTCAAATCTTTTGACAATTGTGATTGAAAAGTTCACGAATTTTCTTTAAAAATTTTCTTAACCTTTACACATTTTAATCACCTCATCATCTTAGCGATGAGTTGCATGAACTTTTGCTAAATTTTTTGATCCTATAGAGAAATACTTAAGGATGGACTTAAAAATTCAGAGGGAATACAGGGTCATTTAAGCCTTATTTGATCGCCGCATTATCCCTAATTTGGATAAAGTATTATCATAAATTATGTGGGCTATTTCTTTTTGATACCCTGTAGGTCAATTAGTTAAATATTTAAAAATACTAAACCGAAGGGTTTGTTAGTTTGAAAGTTTTTTGTCTTTCTTAAGCCTTTTTATTTGTTGCATTTTCTTCACATTGTCCCAATAAAATAATGCTTCTTTAATCATTATATTTTAAAAAGCATTACTCATATAAGCCACATTTAGCTTCAATTTTCCATCAAAGCTGCTCGCCAGTTTAATGCTATTGATGCATAAATTTGCAAATCATCTTCCATTTTTCTTAAGAAAATCATTAACAATCAATTTTTGCTCATTTTTAATTCAGCATAAAATAAAATAAATTCTAAATTTTAAATAAATTCTAGTGATGTTCGAGACTCTCGGTCTCGACTCTCGAGTCGAGAAATTTCTCGGGTTTTTTGAGCTCTCGGTCTCGGTCTCGGTGTTTTGGTCTCGGAAAACGAGACTAAATTTACACCCCTAATGACGGAAATTTTTTGAACTTTACTCGGACCTTGCGTACTTTGATATTAAAATTTTTAAGGAAAAGTCTCCAAAATTCCCAAAATTTTGCCTGCGGCGCTGAAAAATGGAAGAAATCTGGCTTCTTGAGCTCCAAAATTCTCAAAATTTTCGCCTGCGGCGCTGAAAAATGGAGGAAATTTGGCTTCTTGAGCTCCAAAATTCAAAAAATTTTTGCCTGCGGCGCCAAAAATGCAGCAAAAATTTTAATTTAATAAGATTAAAGGATTAGATTTTGTGGTTTGTGGTATATTAGATACTGTGGATTCAGAAGGATAAAATTTAATATCAAGGGATGGGTGCATCGATGGATCAAAAAGATATTGTTGGATTTGTAGGGATATGGAAGGATATGAGGGGATTTTAAGAGATTAATGTGAATATCATTGAATATATATTGTGGACAAGGGGATTCAAGCGAGTATGGGGATTTTGAGGTATATCAAGGGATTTTTGGGCATTAGGAGGGACATCAAGTGATATCCCTCTTAATCTCTCGGTCTCGACTCTCGGTCTCGACTCTCGACTCTCGTTTTGGTCTCGGTCTCGGGGTTGATTCTCGGTCTCGGTCTCGACTCTCGACTCTCGGGATTTTTTGACTCTCGAACATCACTAATAAATTCTGATTTTCATACTTTTTAATTAAATGAATATTATAAAGAAATTAATTAGTGGAGGTGGAGGAGGCAAGAAGGAACCTCAAAAAAGCAACAAAAATTCATCAAATGACACTAATGAAAATTTGGAAGACGATTATGAGCCTGAGCATTGTGAAACTGACTTTGACCAGCAGTTTGAACATGCTAGACGCAGTATTTCAACAACTACAGTGCCAACTATAACACATTGCGAATATCGTAATTATTTTATTAAACCATGTTTTATATTAAATAACCCATAAATTCATAGGCGGCAGTCCCTCACGAAGCAATCGGAGCACGCCAAATCAATCTGGAAATCTAAAATCCGGTCGTTCTACCAAAAGTCCATCCCCTCTACAACCTCCAACCACACAGCGACCACGCTTTCAATCCTCGCCGTTAGCAACATCGAATTCAGTAGCGGTTAGAAAAAGCAGTAAATCAACACCACTAATGCAGCGCAAGTCACAAACACCTGAAAAACCAGGGGTTTCTACTGGCAAGGATTCCATCCAAAGGAATATGACAATGACACAGCAAAAGCAGGTAATATTTTGAGCGTTGAATTAAAATATAAACCGGTACAATTTCCAACTAAATTAAGGCTAAAGATTTCGTCGAGTCTCTTGATTGGATACAACCAACTCAACAAGTATCGAGCAGTGTCATTCAACCTCAAGTTGTGCAATCACAAATGATGTAATTTTTGATATTTATATTTATAAAATGAAATTTTTAATATTAAGAGTCCCACAAATCCATATTTGTGAAGCGTTACCAGTCGCTCGACCTAGTAAAGCAGTCACAGCAGTTATCCCACAGAAACGATCAGGCATTCCTGTTCCTGTAGCAGCTTCAGGGAGAGTTGTGAATATAAACAAATAAAGACAATTAACATGAAGCTATTTTATCAGATTTTTAAAATTTATCATAATTAATCCCTGACACTTTTTGACAAATATCCCCTTAATATCCACATTTATCCCTTACTAATTAATTGTTTTAATTTAGTAATGATTTATTATTGTTTGTACATTATATGTACATTTAATATTGAAATTTATTCAAGTGTTCATTGCCATTTTACTTTGTTGATGTACATTTGTCTTCATTGGCTGGACCATGGTTAGGCTCTGCTTAGGTACAATTCTAAGTGATGAAAGGACGTGATAGCGAAATTTTCTGGAATAGATGATATAAATTCATGGTCTTTTAGTTGAGATTAGGATGGCGGTTCCTGGGAACTCTCCGGATATCCGGAACCGGTATCCGAAATGATTTCGGATATCCGAGGTTTTTTCGGTTCCGGATACCCGGAACCGCCAACCTTAGTTTAGATGAATACCATACCTTAATAATATCATATATAACATTGGACTTATTCCACAAAACAAAATAGATGCCGAATTCAATAGCTCATGTTCTAATGAAGTCATTGCACCATACCGAGCTTTAAAGTAAAATTAGATTTATAAATATATTTATAAATATTACGCATGAATCCATATATTGTTGGCGCAATGAAAACCAAAAATTGAATAAAGGATTGAATTAGTATTCGAATCTCTTGGTTTTTTTGTGATGTGTTAGCCGAATTATTATGATTGTTCAAAAATTTTCGTGCATTCTGTAGAAATAAGAAAAATATTATTTTTTAAAATTATCTGCGTACAATCTTTATCACTAGAGCAATGGAACAATAAATGATAAAACAGATTGTTGGAATCGACAAATATCCATAGTACTCAATATTTCGCATAGTGAGCGATAATGTATAGTTTGTATTATATTGCCAGCCATTGTTTTCTCTGTTCAGGTAAATTTCACAATAAGGTGATAAGAAGATTATCGATATGATAGTAAAGGCGATCATTGAGATAATGTACAAAAACTAGAATTATTTTAAATTTTGTGGGCAAAAAGGTACCTTGTATACAAAACTCTCAATTTGCGTATCAGTTTTCTTAAAGACATTAAAGATATAGAGCTTAAGTATTGTACATAGCCGATTGATTGCAAGAACAAAATTCAAGAGGAAAAATAAATCAAACGCAGCATCTGTAAATGAACCGATGATCTGAAATTAAAATGGATTCATTCTTAATGTCATAATTATTTTAATTTACTTTCTCAATCCAGCTTTGATACAGATTATCAATCGCAATGAACGGATAAATTCCCATTGTGATAATTAAGTATAATTCGGTAACACCAATGATAAACATTAAACGATAGGATGTTTCTTCACGATATTCCTTGCGCAGAATGAACTGCTAAATTGGAAAAATTTTAAGCTTATGACAAGCAGATTTTAAGATCTATCTTGCTTTCAAGCATAAGTTTAAAAATAAACATGCCGGCAAAGTTAAAAGTTGAAGCAACAAAAATACAATGGACATTATCAAACGTAAAGAAGCAAAAATACTGGTTATGTTTAAATTTGTAGTCATTATAATGAAATTTTATACTAAATTTACACTAATTTTCCCTAAACCTTAGCGGATTTTTTAATAGTTTATTAATGAAGGATATTAAATAAAATTTCAAAATATTGATGCTTTTTCTTTGAGTTATGAGAAAAAAATTTAGTCGGCTTTATAATTTCATAACAATGTTTCAAGTTAAATAACAATAATAAAAGTTAACGTTTTATTCATAGCTAGAATTTTGCTCGAATTTAATTATCGAAATAAATTACTATAATTTAATTTTGATATTTTTTTAGAAAATTGACAAGCTTAATTGAAAAAAAAAGTAAGGCTTATTTTATTATTTTTATTAAATTAAACACATTGTTAGCTAAAAACGAAGGAAATTAAAAAGGTATTAGAATAAAATAGAGTTAGTTGATTAAAAATTAATCAAATCATTAATAACAAAATCAGCTGTATAGAAAATCATTGCATTTTAGATGAATTCCAAAAGTGGACTAATTTTTCAAAATATTCATTGTCTTCTGAAATTAAAAATTGATTAAGAACATAGACAAACTTAGGAACCTTTTACTTCTTTCACTTTAGGTTGAGCTTTTTGTTTTTTATCGTTATTTATTATTAAAATCTCTAAAATGTTAAAATAGGTAAACTTTAATAAATAGTTATTGAGCCTCAAGTCTAAGCTAACATTAATAACGTACCCGGTCTACTTTTAGCTGCGGCACTATCAATTTTTATGGTCGTAATTTGCTTCTTTGTTTTATCATCTGAATAATTTAGAATAAATGCTTTAATAAATTCAAGCATACCGTTAGCTATTGTTCCGACAACCATCAAACAAATAAATAAAACATTTAACATCACGAGCCTTTGAAATTATCTTTTTATCTTTAGCGAGAATGATTTTTATGGACAGAATATATAGGAATAATTTTTCGCATATAAGAATGATGTAATTATCTTACAAGATTATTTAAGTAATACACTTCAGCGGAAATAATATATTAAGTAGATGCACTTTATTTTGTAGATGCACTTTATCTGGCATGCCTATTGACAATTCTTCGAATTTAAAGTTTAAAAAATTTTCTCATAAAAGACCACACGTATTAAAAGATACTCTATCTTACATAATATTGAGAAAATGCCAAAGACTGGGTGGCATTAAAACTTTTATTGCTTTAACTTATGGCTTTTACGAGAAACTGACTATTTTCCAGCAAAACCAAACAAATAAAATATATCTTTATCCAAAAATAAAATATAATTTTTATATGGCACCATAAACAATTGGCAATTGAGATCATAATTAACTGAATATTTCAAAAAATATTGTGTGAAATGAAATAATGAAAAATCTGTCACGTTAAAATTCAGGATATGGAGGTTTTGCTATTACAGATTCAGGAAATCTTTCAATATCGGGAGGTAAGTTCTGTAAACTCGTTCCTGATTGTTGCTGATCAGGATTTACTGTAGAATTTAAGCTGCCAAGTCTTGAGTTAAGTTGCAATTGTTTATGGGCGAATATTTGTGGCTTTTTCATAGCGCATTCAGATGGGGCTCGAGATCGAAGGGGTACAATTGAATTTGCCTTCATGAATGAGCACACCTTATAAATTTATAATTACTTTATAATAATTGGTAGATCATTGAGGCAATAAATGTCAAATAATCTAGTGAACCTGAGCTGGCAATTCTGCTAGCACTTCTCGACCCAAAAGAGTTTTTAGAATAGCTTGTTCTTCAGGCGTTATGCCCCATGCAGAACCGATAAATTCGCGGAATGGGACAAACTTTGATATTAAAGTGAGAAAATAAACTAAGAACTATTCAAATCTACTTGCACAATATCCCTTGATGCCACATTCCCATTGTAAGTCAAAAGACGGTTGTCTGAATCTAGAAACTCCATTTTCTTGAAGTCTTCTTTGCCAATTCCAATTACTTAAATTTAAAATTTATAATCAAAGCAAAATTTTCTTACTTATAATTGAAAGAGGCTCATGCGAAGCCTCAATTAATGCTTCTATTGTGTTTTGCATGTCAGTTATTATCCCATCAGTCAAAATTAATAGCACCTAGTGAATATTATATTACATATGTATATCTAACTAAAAAGTTCGGACAAACTTGATATTTAGTACCGTCCCTAGGGAATTGCTGACATTTGTGCACAAATTCACGAATTGTAGGAGCAAAATTAGTTGGCCCATATAATTGTGTGTTGACAATGGCATACCTATATGCATCTAATACACCTTGGATTCCCTCAACTGAACGTTCAAAATTGTTAAGCCTCTGAATATTTTAGGGAAATTGATTTGAATTTTAAAAATAAATACCAGAGGGAACATATGGCTAACTGTAAAAGCTGGTGGGATTTTGGCACCAAAACCAATAGTTTCAAACATTTTGGAATGATTATAGTGTTCGCATATTTCCAATACAGCGCATATGGCACATTCATACTGATTCAAATATTGTGAGTTCACATAGTGCAATGAACTTGATTTAGAAATCTCGCCATTCGAAGCAGTCAAATCGACTGCAACTGCAAATTCAAGTTGCAAACTGAAAGTTTTCACTAAAATTTGTGGAAAAACTTTGACTACCCAGAAGCGATAAAATCAAGAAATGTAAACTCTTTACGAATCTGAACATCCATAAAATGAAGAATCCCTTTTGGGACCTTTAAAGGCACTCCTTTGTTCTTTTTTGTTTTGATCAATTCAAGTTGGTTCTGTTGATGGGAGGTCAGTGCATTAAGGGATGTTTGTGTTGATCCGATCAAATGATGGCTAAAAAGCATTGATGGGATTTTTGATAATTTTAATGAACAAACTTTCCAGTAGCCTCTCTTTGATCATAGCACTCAATGAGGAAATCACTTAATTTTAAATTATACACTACTCAAAAATACCAAAAATTACCTCCCTTTGTCCCCCTTGCAGAGCTGATTTACTCTTAGTTCAAAAGGCTTCCATTCAGGATTTTTAGTATTCCTAGCCAATTCTGTCCTGTAGATCATTTGCCGACTTAATTTAATTAATCGATCTCACGACGAGAGTTGATTTTTTCCAAGAAAAATAAAGAACTAATCAAACATATAAAAATACCTTCCATCGCATAAAAGTCGATAGAATTCCAAAAATGTATTTGGATTTAGGATACATTTCCTAAGAAATGAACCACCACTGTTAAGAGCAACACCTCTAAGAGAAAAATGTGCAATATCACGTTGTCCCTCGTCGAGTTCCTCCGCACATACCAGCAGTAAACCGCCTTGTCTAGGAACATCTTTACATGAGCTTAATTTAATTTTTGTTTCTCCATAGAAAATTAAAATACTCACAAGACTTTCATCACACAAATTCCATTAGGAGCTGCAACAATATCCGCTAACTCGCATTCACATTTTCCTAGAAAATCGTGTTCTGACAACTTTGCAGATTCAGAATCGATGTCGTAACTTAATCAAATTTTTAAAATAAAAATTAAAATAAATTTACATCTTGAAGCGAAGCAACTGTTTACTTTCAAAATAATAATCAAGAGTTATTCGCTTGTTCCACACAGGATTTAATGAGTTTTTAATACATTCAGTCCTCCCAATCTCCACGAATTCGTTTTTAGAATCATCACGAGCATATCGAGTAGTCATCTCTTCAACAATGCATACAGGATCAGACTTTGAGAAGAAGTCGCGGTCTGCCAATGTTCTACAGAATTAAACACAAAATATTAATAAAAATTTGGGGTAAAACCTCGCGGAGATCATTAATTCCACACGAGCGCATGGACCTTTATCTTTAATAATTGGTCGATTTTTTCGCTCAAAATAATTTGTTGATGGGCCTGATTTGAATCCTGTAAAATTCTTATACTATCATTTTTAAGTTAAAAATGCACCGATTTCATCCGTAGAAATAGGAGCTGATGGAGGCGTCGTTGCTTTGAATTTTGTCGAAATTCCATCGTGTGATTTATCATATCTCCTTATTGAGGGGCTTGATTTATGATTTTGCTTATGGTTGTTATTAATATGCGGTCGTGTAGCTAGAGGCATAAATTACACTTTCATTAAATTTCTATGGCTATACTAAAATAAATTAATTTATTTAAGTCTATATAAGTTTATTCCCCAGCATATGCGCAATTCAACCCACAAACAATTTAGTTAACTCCTAGCCACGTTCAATATAATTAATTCAATTTATTGACTCCCACCCACATCACCTTAAAAGAAATTTTGACAATTTTTAAAGTACTACGTTAACGAAATTATTTGTTTACGTCTGTCTATCTATTTTATCATATTTCATTATTGTCTGAAATCGTCGCGCTGTTTGTCTAAAATTTAATTCAATTTATTGATGGGGGTTGGGGAAAAATTTTAATTTAATTAATATCTAAAATTGTTAAAAAAACGTTCGTACTTTTCAATTATTAGTTTTCAAAGAAAATTCTTTAATAAAAAAAGTATGGCTACATTTTGGTAAACGAAAGGGAAATGTCTGAAATAGCTGCCAGCTATAAACAACTGCTGCTGTCACCAACAGGAAACGTGTGAGGCTTCTTCACACTAAACCTAAAGCATATCGATTGCAGTCCATTGTCGCATGCAGCTTTTTGCCTTTGCTTGAAAAATTGAAAGTATTGTTATGTGTAAATGAATGTTTAATAAGAGTTTTAAGTTTAATTATGTACTGGGTTTGAGTACTGGGTTTGCAAAGCTTCTATTTTTAATGGATGGGGAGAAAACGGCATCTTCCGTATCTTACAAGGGAATAATGAATTGGGGATCGAAGAAACGATTATGTTTCCTGAAATTCGTGATCCTGAAACATGGCATTTGGATGAAGAGAAGTTGAAAATTAATTTGAAAATCTAAATGATTTAAATTTGAGTCTGTCTAAAGAAACATAAAACCCAATCAGTGATGTTTCTAAATCTAGCATACATGAAAAAGCATGGAACATGGAAAAATTTTGAAGAGAAAGATTTAGAAACACTCTTGATTTTAATTTTATTAAATATTTATTTGGAAAATTGTTGGAAAATTGTAGTTTTACAATGTTTAGATAAATGATTTTACATTTTTTATTGTTAAAGGATATTTAAATAATCTTCAATTATCTGGAAATCTTGATAATTAAACTTAAAAATTTTGAAGAGAAAGATTTAGAAACACTCTTGATTTTAATTTTATTAAATATTTATTTGGAAAATTGTTGGAAAATTGTAGTTTTACAATGTTTAGATAAATGATTTTACATTTTTTATTGTTAAAGGATATTTAAATAATCTTCAATTATCTGGAAATCTTGATAATTAAACTTAAAACTCTTATTAAACATTCATTTACACATAACAATACTTTCAATTTTTCAAGCAAAGGCAAAAAGCTGCATGCGACAATGGACTGCAATCGATATGCTTTAGGTTTAGTGTGAAGAAGCCTCACACGTTTCCTGTTGGTGACAGCAGCAGTTGTTTATAGCTGGCAGCTATTTCAGACATTTCCCTTTCGTTTACCAAAATGTAGCCATACTTTTTTTATTAAAGAATTTTCTTTGAAAACTAATAATTGAAAAGTACGAACGTTTTTTTAACAATTTTAGATATTAATTAAATTAAAATTTTTCCCCAACCCCCATCAATAAATTGAATTAAATTTTAGACAAACAGCGCGACGATTTCAGACAATAATGAAATATGATAAAATAGATAGACAGACGTAAACAAATAATTTCGTTAACGTAGTACTTTAAAAATTGTCAAAATTTCTTTTAAGGTGATGTGGGTGGGAGTCAATAAATTGAATTAATTATATTGAACGTGGCTAGGAGTTAACTAAATTGTTTGTGGGTTGAATTGCGCATATGCTGGGGAATAAACTTATATAGACTTAAATAAATTAATTTATTTTAGTATAGCCATAGAAATTTAATGAAAGTGTAATTTATGCCTCTAGCTACACGACCGCATATTAATAACAACCATAAGCAAAATCATAAATCAAGCCCCTCAATAAGGAGATATGATAAATCACACGATGGAATTTCGACAAAATTCAAAGCAACGACGCCTCCATCAGCTCCTATTTCTACGGATGAAATCGGTGCATTTTTAACTTAAAAATGATAGTATAAGAATTTTACAGGATTCAAATCAGGCCCATCAACAAATTATTTTGAGCGAAAAAATCGACCAATTATTAAAGATAAAGGTCCATGCGCTCGTGTGGAATTAATGATCTCCGCGAGGTTTTACCCCAAATTTTTATTAATATTTTGTGTTTAATTCTGTAGAACATTGGCAGACCGCGACTTCTTCTCAAAGTCTGATCCTGTATGCATTGTTGAAGAGATGACTACTCGATATGCTCGTGATGATTCTAAAAACGAATTCGTGGAGATTGGGAGGACTGAATGTATTAAAAACTCATTAAATCCTGTGTGGAACAAGCGAATAACTCTTGATTATTATTTTGAAAGTAAACAGTTGCTTCGCTTCAAGATGTAAATTTATTTTAATTTTTATTTTAAAAATTTGATTAAGTTACGACATCGATTCTGAATCTGCAAAGTTGTCAGAACACGATTTTCTAGGAAAATGTGAATGCGAGTTAGCGGATATTGTTGCAGCTCCTAATGGAATTTGTGTGATGAAAGTCTTGTGAGTATTTTAATTTTCTATGGAGAAACAAAAATTAAATTAAGCTCATGTAAAGATGTTCCTAGACAAGGCGGTTTACTGCTGGTATGTGCGGAGGAACTCGACGAGGGACAACGTGATATTGCACATTTTTCTCTTAGAGGTGTTGCTCTTAACAGTGGTGGTTCATTTCTTAGGAAATGTATCCTAAATCCAAATACATTTTTGGAATTCTATCGACTTTTATGCGATGGAAGGTATTTTTATATGTTTGATTAGTTCTTTATTTTTCTTGGAAAAAATCAACTCTCGTCGTGAGATCGATTAATTAAATTAAGTCGGCAAATGATCTACAGGACAGAATTGGCTAGGAATACTAAAAATCCTGAATGGAAGCCTTTTGAACTAAGAGTAAATCAGCTCTGCAAGGGGGACAAAGGGAGGTAATTTTTGGTATTTTTGAGTAGTGTATAATTTAAAATTAAGTGATTTCCTCATTGAGTGCTATGATCAAAGAGAGGCTACTGGAAAGTTTGTTCATTAAAATTATCAAAAATCCCATCAATGCTTTTTAGCCATCATTTGATCGGATCAACACAAACATCCCTTAATGCACTGACCTCCCATCAACAGAACCAACTTGAATTGATCAAAACAAAAAAGAACAAAGGAGTGCCTTTAAAGGTCCCAAAAGGGATTCTTCATTTTATGGATGTTCAGATTCGTAAAGAGTTTACATTTCTTGATTTTATCGCTTCTGGGTAGTCAAAGTTTTTCCACAAATTTTAGTGAAAACTTTCAGTTTGCAACTTGAATTTGCAGTTGCAGTCGATTTGACTGCTTCGAATGGCGAGATTTCTAAATCAAGTTCATTGCACTATGTGAACTCACAATATTTGAATCAGTATGAATGTGCCATATGCGCTGTATTGGAAATATGCGAACACTATAATCATTCCAAAATGTTTGAAACTATTGGTTTTGGTGCCAAAATCCCACCAGCTTTTACAGTTAGCCATATGTTCCCTCTGGTATTTATTTTTAAAATTCAAATCAATTTCCCTAAAATATTCAGAGGCTTAACAATTTTGAACGTTCAGTTGAGGGAATCCAAGGTGTATTAGATGCATATAGGTATGCCATTGTCAACACACAATTATATGGGCCAACTAATTTTGCTCCTACAATTCGTGAATTTGTGCACAAATGTCAGCAATTCCCTAGGGACGGTACTAAATATCAAGTTTGTCCGAACTTTTTAGTTAGATATACATATGTAATATAATATTCACTAGGTGCTATTAATTTTGACTGATGGGATAATAACTGACATGCAAAACACAATAGAAGCATTAATTGAGGCTTCGCATGAGCCTCTTTCAATTATAAGTAAGAAAATTTTGCTTTGATTATAAATTTTAAATTTAAGTAATTGGAATTGGCAAAGAAGACTTCAAGAAAATGGAGTTTCTAGATTCAGACAACCGTCTTTTGACTTACAATGGGAATGTGGCATCAAGGGATATTGTGCAAGTAGATTTGAATAGTTCTTAGTTTATTTTCTCACTTTAATATCAAAGTTTGTCCCATTCCGCGAATTTATCGGTTCTGCATGGGGCATAACGCCTGAAGAACAAGCTATTCTAAAAACTCTTTTGGGTCGAGAAGTGCTAGCAGAATTGCCAGCTCAGGTTCACTAGATTATTTGACATTTATTGCCTCAATGATCTACCAATTATTATAAAGTAATTATAAATTTATAAGGTGTGCTCATTCATGAAGGCAAATTCAATTGTACCCCTTCGATCTCGAGCCCCATCTGAATGCGCTATGAAAAAGCCACAAATATTCGCCCATAAACAATTGCAACTTAACTCAAGACTTGGCAGCTTAAATTCTACAGTAAATCCTGATCAGCAACAATCAGGAACGAGTTTACAGAACTTACCTCCCGATATTGAAAGATTTCCTGAATCTGTAATAGCAAAACCTCCATATCCTGAATTTTAACGTGACAGATTTTTCATTATTTCATTTCACACAATATTTTTTGAAATATTCAGTTAATTATGATCTCAATTGCCAATTGTTTATGGTGCCATATAAAAATTATATTTTATTTTTGGATAAAGATATATTTTATTTGTTTGGTTTTGCTGGAAAATAGTCAGTTTCTCGTAAAAGCCATAAGTTAAAGCAATAAAAGTTTTAATGCCACCCAGTCTTTGGCATTTTCTCAATATTATGTAAGATAGAGTATCTTTTAATACGTGTGGTCTTTTATGAGAAAATTTTTTAAACTTTAAATTCGAAGAATTGTCAATAGGCATGCCAGATAAAGTGCATCTACAAAATAAAGTGCATCTACTTAATATATTATTTCCGCTGAAGTGTATTACTTAAATAATCTTGTAAGATAATTACATCATTCTTATATGCGAAAAATTATTCCTATATATTCTGTCCATAAAAATCATTCTCGCTAAAGATAAAAAGATAATTTCAAAGGCTCGTGATGTTAAATGTTTTATTTATTTGTTTGATGGTTGTCGGAACAATAGCTAACGGTATGCTTGAATTTATTAAAGCATTTATTCTAAATTATTCAGATGATAAAACAAAGAAGCAAATTACGACCATAAAAATTGATAGTGCCGCAGCTAAAAGTAGACCGGGTACGTTATTAATGTTAGCTTAGACTTGAGGCTCAATAACTATTTATTAAAGTTTACCTATTTTAACATTTTAGAGATTTTAATAATAAATAACGATAAAAAACAAAAAGCTCAACCTAAAGTGAAAGAAGTAAAAGGTTCCTAAGTTTGTCTATGTTCTTAATCAATTTTTAATTTCAGAAGACAATGAATATTTTGAAAAATTAGTCCACTTTTGGAATTCATCTAAAATGCAATGATTTTCTATACAGCTGATTTTGTTATTAATGATTTGATTAATTTTTAATCAACTAACTCTATTTTATTCTAATACCTTTTTAATTTCCTTCGTTTTTAGCTAACAATGTGTTTAATTTAATAAAAATAATAAAATAAGCCTTACTTTTTTTTTCAATTAAGCTTGTCAATTTTCTAAAAAAATATCAAAATTAAATTATAGTAATTTATTTCGATAATTAAATTCGAGCAAAATTCTAGCTATGAATAAAACGTTAACTTTTATTATTGTTATTTAACTTGAAACATTGTTATGAAATTATAAAGCCGACTAAATTTTTTTCTCATAACTCAAAGAAAAAGCATCAATATTTTGAAATTTTATTTAATATCCTTCATTAATAAACTATTAAAAAATCCGCTAAGGTTTAGGGAAAATTAGTGTAAATTTAGTATAAAATTTCATTATAATGACTACAAATTTAAACATAACCAGTATTTTTGCTTCTTTACGTTTGATAATGTCCATTGTATTTTTGTTGCTTCAACTTTTAACTTTGCCGGCATGTTTATTTTTAAACTTATGCTTGAAAGCAAGATAGATCTTAAAATCTGCTTGTCATAAGCTTAAAATTTTTCCAATTTAGCAGTTCATTCTGCGCAAGGAATATCGTGAAGAAACATCCTATCGTTTAATGTTTATCATTGGTGTTACCGAATTATACTTAATTATCACAATGGGAATTTATCCGTTCATTGCGATTGATAATCTGTATCAAAGCTGGATTGAGAAAGTAAATTAAAATAATTATGACATTAAGAATGAATCCATTTTAATTTCAGATCATCGGTTCATTTACAGATGCTGCGTTTGATTTATTTTTCCTCTTGAATTTTGTTCTTGCAATCAATCGGCTATGTACAATACTTAAGCTCTATATCTTTAATGTCTTTAAGAAAACTGATACGCAAATTGAGAGTTTTGTATACAAGGTACCTTTTTGCCCACAAAATTTAAAATAATTCTAGTTTTTGTACATTATCTCAATGATCGCCTTTACTATCATATCGATAATCTTCTTATCACCTTATTGTGAAATTTACCTGAACAGAGAAAACAATGGCTGGCAATATAATACAAACTATACATTATCGCTCACTATGCGAAATATTGAGTACTATGGATATTTGTCGATTCCAACAATCTGTTTTATCATTTATTGTTCCATTGCTCTAGTGATAAAGATTGTACGCAGATAATTTTAAAAAATAATATTTTTCTTATTTCTACAGAATGCACGAAAATTTTTGAACAATCATAATAATTCGGCTAACACATCACAAAAAAACCAAGAGATTCGAATACTAATTCAATCCTTTATTCAATTTTTGGTTTTCATTGCGCCAACAATATATGGATTCATGCGTAATATTTATAAATATATTTATAAATCTAATTTTACTTTAAAGCTCGGTATGGTGCAATGACTTCATTAGAACATGAGCTATTGAATTCGGCATCTATTTTGTTTTGTGGAATAAGTCCAATGTTATATATGATATTATTAAGGTATGGTATTCATCTAAACTAAGGTTGGCGGTTCCGGGTATCCGGAACCGAAAAAACCTCGGATATCCGAAATCATTTCGGATACCGGTTCCGGATATCCGGAGAGTTCCCAGGAACCGCCATCCTAATCTCAACTAAAAGACCATGAATTTATATCATCTATTCCAGAAAATTTCGCTATCACGTCCTTTCATCACTTAGAATTGTACCTAAGCAGAGCCTAACCATGGTCCAGCCAATGAAGACAAATGTACATCAACAAAGTAAAATGGCAATGAACACTTGAATAAATTTCAATATTAAATGTACATATAATGTACAAACAATAATAAATCATTACTAAATTAAAACAATTAATTAGTAAGGGATAAATGTGGATATTAAGGGGATATTTGTCAAAAAGTGTCAGGGATTAATTATGATAAATTTTAAAAATCTGATAAAATAGCTTCATGTTAATTGTCTTTATTTGTTTATATTCACAACTCTCCCTGAAGCTGCTACAGGAACAGGAATGCCTGATCGTTTCTGTGGGATAACTGCTGTGACTGCTTTACTAGGTCGAGCGACTGGTAACGCTTCACAAATATGGATTTGTGGGACTCTTAATATTAAAAATTTCATTTTATAAATATAAATATCAAAAATTACATCATTTGTGATTGCACAACTTGAGGTTGAATGACACTGCTCGATACTTGTTGAGTTGGTTGTATCCAATCAAGAGACTCGACGAAATCTTTAGCCTTAATTTAGTTGGAAATTGTACCGGTTTATATTTTAATTCAACGCTCAAAATATTACCTGCTTTTGCTGTGTCATTGTCATATTCCTTTGGATGGAATCCTTGCCAGTAGAAACCCCTGGTTTTTCAGGTGTTTGTGACTTGCGCTGCATTAGTGGTGTTGATTTACTGCTTTTTCTAACCGCTACTGAATTCGATGTTGCTAACGGCGAGGATTGAAAGCGTGGTCGCTGTGTGGTTGGAGGTTGTAGAGGGGATGGACTTTTGGTAGAACGACCGGATTTTAGATTTCCAGATTGATTTGGCGTGCTCCGATTGCTTCGTGAGGGACTGCCGCCTATGAATTTATGGGTTATTTAATATAAAACATGGTTTAATAAAATAATTACGATATTCGCAATGTGTTATAGTTGGCACTGTAGTTGTTGAAATACTGCGTCTAGCATGTTCAAACTGCTGGTCAAAGTCAGTTTCACAATGCTCAGGCTCATAATCGTCTTCCAAATTTTCATTAGTGTCATTTGATGAATTTTTGTTGCTTTTTTGAGGTTCCTTCTTGCCTCCTCCACCTCCACTAATTAATTTCTTTATAATATTCATTTAATTAAAAAGTATGAAAATCAGAATTTATTAGTGATGTTCGAGAGTCAAAAAATCCCGAGAGTCGAGAGTCGAGACCGAGACCGAGAATCAACCCCGAGACCGAGACCAAAACGAGAGTCGAGAGTCGAGACCGAGAGTCGAGACCGAGAGATTAAGAGGGATATCACTTGATGTCCCTCCTAATGCCCAAAAATCCCTTGATATACCTCAAAATCCCCATACTCGCTTGAATCCCCTTGTCCACAATATATATTCAATGATATTCACATTAATCTCTTAAAATCCCCTCATATCCTTCCATATCCCTACAAATCCAACAATATCTTTTTGATCCATCGATGCACCCATCCCTTGATATTAAATTTTATCCTTCTGAATCCACAGTATCTAATATACCACAAACCACAAAATCTAATCCTTTAATCTTATTAAATTAAAATTTTTGCTGCATTTTTGGCGCCGCAGGCAAAAATTTTTTGAATTTTGGAGCTCAAGAAGCCAAATTTCCTCCATTTTTCAGCGCCGCAGGCGAAAATTTTGAGAATTTTGGAGCTCAAGAAGCCAGATTTCTTCCATTTTTCAGCGCCGCAGGCAAAATTTTGGGAATTTTGGAGACTTTTCCTTAAAAATTTTAATATCAAAGTACGCAAGGTCCGAGTAAAGTTCAAAAAATTTCCGTCATTAGGGGTGTAAATTTAGTCTCGTTTTCCGAGACCAAAACACCGAGACCGAGACCGAGAGCTCAAAAAACCCGAGAAATTTCTCGACTCGAGAGTCGAGACCGAGAGTCTCGAACATCACTAGAATTTATTTAAAATTTAGAATTTATTTTATTTTATGCTGAATTAAAAATGAGCAAAAATTGATTGTTAATGATTTTCTTAAGAAAAATGGAAGATGATTTGCAAATTTATGCATCAATAGCATTAAACTGGCGAGCAGCTTTGATGGAAAATTGAAGCTAAATGTGGCTTATATGAGTAATGCTTTTTAAAATATAATGATTAAAGAAGCATTATTTTATTGGGACAATGTGAAGAAAATGCAACAAATAAAAAGGCTTAAGAAAGACAAAAAACTTTCAAACTAACAAACCCTTCGGTTTAGTATTTTTAAATATTTAACTAATTGACCTACAGGGTATCAAAAAGAAATAGCCCACATAATTTATGATAATACTTTATCCAAATTAGGGATAATGCGGCGATCAAATAAGGCTTAAATGACCCTGTATTCCCTCTGAATTTTTAAGTCCATCCTTAAGTATTTCTCTATAGGATCAAAAAATTTAGCAAAAGTTCATGCAACTCATCGCTAAGATGATGAGGTGATTAAAATGTGTAAAGGTTAAGAAAATTTTTAAAGAAAATTCGTGAACTTTTCAATCACAATTGTCAAAAGATTTGAGAGGAATTAGTTGGTGAGTCATTTTCTTTGAGAGAGACCGAGACCAGAACTATGTATAATTCTAATCACTTTGGATTTTTAACATAACTGACCTCGCTTCAACGAAAATTATTAGGATAAAGTGCTTAAAACATCTGTTGATTTATCCATGAAATGTGGACTCACAAAAAACATTTGACGCCTAGGACTAAATATTGGGTCGCTGCCGCTCTTGGCGATAATGGGCTAAGTGTGGATGTGATTAAAAAAGAAAGCTAAATAAACGGCCGTTGAGTGATCGATTTATTTCCGATTTCATTTTTTAAAAATGTTCAAAAGGCTTAACTACAAAGGCATTAAGATAGGCAGGGAAAATCAGATCTTTTTTAAGCAAAAAGCTGATTAATCACCTAGAAATTTGTGTGGGATTATTGTTTTTGTTTAAGCTTTAGATGTTTTTGTTTTGTTAATAATGAAAATAGAAAAGAATAGGAAGGTTCATTTTCGTATCCATGCAAATTAAAAAAAATACATAGAAGAGCCGAAATGATTTTTTATGATCTTTCTCATTTAAAAATACATATTATGTAAAATTCAAAATTCAAATAAGCGAGAACAAACTTCTATCAGTCATAATCACAAGGATAATCGCGCGAATCGATACACTCTCTGTATTTGGAATCAAGTCTTTGGAGCACTCCCAAAGGAATTTTCTTATCCTTTTCGATTTCACGTCTGAGCCTCTGAACATCCAATTTTGTAAGCCAATCAAGGAGTTCTTCAAAGATTTGCTCGCCAACTTCTGGTCGTAGCTGAATAATAAATTGACAAGGATTTAAATCCCAACCAACCTCATTTCCAACGACCAATTGGACTAGGAATTCAGTTGGAGGTCTTCCATCGGGAAAGAATTGATGAAAAGCTACCGAAAAATTATCAGTTCTAATTGAATTTGCAACATTTACATGACCATTGAGAATCGCTGCGAGTGCGCAGCGTTGAAGCAGGTTCGAATCATCCAATTCACGAACTTTCATGAGATTTCTTTAAAAATAATTGAGAAAACAAGATTTAATATTAATTTCTACAGGCTCGAGGAGGGAAACAAACTGTTAAAAATTATTAAAAATTAGGTAAGCCTATAAATATTGAGTAAATCTATATATGGATATCTTGAATGTCGGATTATCAGATAAAATTAAAATTAATTTCTGTGAAACCTTTCAAATGCTTTCACATATCCACTTTCGGCACAGCTATAAGCAATGTCATCATAATGAAGTATAACTCTTCGGGGAGATAATTCCAAAGCCCTGCTCCAAACAACAGGTTCACGATGTGCCATATCTTCAATTCGATCACGTTCAGAATCATTCATTTTCTCATATAAACGTTCAGTTTGCTTAAATGTTAGAGATAATTTTCGCAACTAGGATTATTTAACATGGAATTCAAAAAAATTAGTACATTGAAGGATATTGACTTATGTATGTATTACTAACCAGATCTAGCGCCAACTTTGCACAGATATCGAAAAGGCTGACTCTTGAAAGATATGGCTCTGAAGCTATCGCAGTTTTCTCAACATCAAACTGAAGCGTGTCGGGATTCAACAAAAAGCAACATTCAGGCAGTGTATCTTAAAATTTTAATTAATTCACTAAATTCCTGGACTGAATCTATTGAACGCAAACCTATTGGCAGAAGATGACCAATTTTCAAAACATCTTCCTTTAATCTTTTAATAATCTCAAATAGTTTTGGAGGTAATGCAATTTGCAACGTCTCTTGTTGGTTAACAAATTCTTGACCTAATGCCAACCTTCTGATGCAAAGACATAAAAGATTTGGAACCATAATTTATAGCCAATGTTGAAGATAAATGAAGAAATATCTGTTTTCTGTTCATTGAATTTTTTCTAGTAATAATAGAACACACCATAAGCTTAAGGTGGAGCTCAGTCTTTCTTCGAAACAAGTTGCCAGATTAGAACCACAATAAAGGGATTTTTAATTTTATCCAATTTTTAAATAAAGCCTTCCCTTAAAAGCAAAGTTTATGCATAAAAATCATAAAAATCAAGAGTTCTTGTTAAACTGAAAATTTAGGCATATTAAGTCTTGCCGAAAAAGCAGGATCGATGCAAACTGTAAAATGTCACAATGCCAACATTTAATGTCAACTTTTTAATGCCAACTTTTTAGAAATATAAATGCACTTTTTGAATGAAAGGAGTTGAAATATGAAAATTGGGGTTGGCGCTTCGAGTCGGGCCGATGTTCGAGTCATCTTTTCGGGCCTCATTTTTATTGGGTGGGCCCGACCGAGTCTTTATCGGGTTTAATTCTTATCGGGCCGGCCCGAGCCAGTCTTTTTCGGGCAAAATTCGATGCCCGACTCCATCTTTCGGACCAGGCCGGATCGGGCCCCCCACCCTAATGCAAATATAAGCTCTTTCTTGATGTGCATTCAGGTATTTATCATAGGGTCATTCCTGGTGGGTATTCCTGTATTATCGCAAACCATATTGTAGTTTTTGGAGTCTATCCAACGACTACACTTAATGTTTTACTTTTTTTAATGTCTTAATTTTTTATTGTCAATAGTCTTTACATTTGAATTCCTTCATATGATTAAAAATCTATACATTAATCCACGCGAATTTCCAATTTCTTTCATTTGCCTTTAAAAATCCATCATTCATAATGCTGTCTGACATTAAGTAAAAGACTAATAAAACTCTTGTTGTGAATATAATTTGAGTTACCGTAGTTACTCGATTAATTCCCCTCCCTCGAATAATTCCCCCTGCTACGGATGAGTTGAAACAATAATCCCCCTCCCAAAAATACGTTCAAATTTCAAAACTTGAATAATTCCCCTCCCTTGAATAATTCCCCATGCCTCGGATGGGTTGAAAAAATGATTCCCCAGGGGAATCAATCGAGCAAATACGGTAATACCGTCAAGACCTCTAAATGGCGCATCCAGGCAGAAAGTCGGCAATTCCCATCATTTTTAACTAGCTGTGATTTTATTTTAGAAATTTTTTTTAAGTTAATCAATGATATTTATTGATAAAAAGTTTTTCTCCATATTAGTGATTCTATTTCTATTTACAATTCAATGCATAGAAATAACAATTGGTGAACTTTTTTCGTCTGAATATAGGGAGAATGGTAAGGTTTTTAAATAACTACCCAAAACATTGATGAAGGTGATGTTGCTTAACTAGGAATAAATTTAGATGCCAAACCAAGTGTTCCCAATGATTATCAAAAAGCCAATGAAGTTCATCATCATATTGAAGCTCTTCAGCTTACTGACGCAAGTGATGTCAATGAAAATCATGAGGAGACTGAAACTGACGGTCTGACGATTGTTGCCAGTATAAATCCGAAACAAGATGATGTTCACCGCAGTAAGAAATTATCTGACAAACGGATCGACTTCTTTGATGGTAAACATGTTCCAGATAATGATGGTACGTTTATATAAAAACTTAATCAAAATTATATACGTTTGTAGCTATTAGTTATTTTTTGAAAAAATGTCTAAAACAATATTCCTAAAAGGGTTTGTTAGAAAAGAGTAAAGTTGAACCTTCCAGTAAGAATTTGAGACAGTAAGAATTGATAACTTTAAATCGTAAATTTTACAAACTAACTAGAATTTTTAAATCTATATTAATTCAACAGATTATGTAAAAGAAAAAAAAGCTAAAAAAGTGTACCCAAATCTTCAACATACTGGCTATCGACTATCATTAAAGACAGGTAAAATATATTTCTGTTAAAAGTAATTTATCATTTTTCATTAACTGAAACGGAAGATTTTTAGAAGGGTTGCAGCTGAAATCTGGGTTAATTACTTATATGAAGTTTGGGATAGAATATAATATTTTAAGGTCTTAAAAGAGGGCTTAAAGGTTACGAAAAGGCCAAGTATGCAATAACAGAAGTTTTTCCTTACTCGATGTTCTTAATTTTTTTATATGCATGAAACTATTCTAATATTTTATTTTAGATGATTTTAAGCGATCAAACGAGCAAAATTACAAGCCACATTCAACTAAGTCTAAACTTGTATTACCTGAACAACGAAAACCTGAAGTTATCTCACGTCATTTGCTTCGAACACTAGTGGATCCAGTCAAAGGCTTAATGAAGCTTGTAAAAAAGCCTTTCAAAAAATCCAACTCAAAACAATTGAAGCCGACTATGGAAGAAAATTTTTAATTTTCAGATATAAAAATTCTAGTCATGAGCATCTTAGTGAGCGAATTTTGTAAAAACTCTTGGTTATATTTCGGCTGACACTCCACCTTTTTTCCTGTTTCCCTGCCCATTTTTTGTACCGCTGTAAGGGATTAAATCAAATGGTCGGGAGCAGGCCAACTTACCGCGAGCCCAACTCGTCGCAGAGCTATAACTTCGTTCAGAATTGCCGAATCCGGTACGCCTTGGTATGATTCGATGCGTCTCGACGAGCTGAATCGAACTATACCAGGGTGCCCCGGATTCGACAATTCTGAACGAAGTTATAGCTCTGCGACGAGTTGGGCTCGCGGTAAGTTGGGGGTGTACCCCAAATGGTCATAGCTTTGTTCTTCCGAGCATATTTCGTTGATTTTAGGCCATTCGTTTCAGTTCAAAGAGCTCTTTAGAATGATGTATTATTTGCCATAACGAAAATTAGAAAAAATGGAAAAAAGAGGGGGTTCAGCCGAAGTATATTACCAAACTCCTTCATCGTATACCGTTTGTTTAAACATATCTACCCTAAAATGATGATCCCTGAAAAATTATGTAACTAAATCCCCGTTTTCTCTAAAAAATTTTGTCCTCAATTTTTATCTCGAATGTTCCTGTAATTTTTTTTACTATTACCATTGATAAAAATTTTGTTTTATGGACTCTATTGTCTGCCTCCTCGAAAAAGCAAGTTCCCTGTTATGCGTTCTTATCAGAAATTGCTTCTAATGCAATTTTATGTAATTTACTACCTGTATGTACATAGTATATAATAATCAAAAATCTTTTACTTAAATATTTAGATTTCCATTAAGAGTTATATTTAATCTACAAATTGCTCTGAATTGCTGTTATGAATTTTCAAAAATAAATTAATTTATATTAACGAATTTTATATTTTCTTTATTGAATTTTTTGAATATTATTGTGGAAATAATGTTTCATCCGACTTACTATATTTCTGTTTTTACAGTTTGCCTTGGAGCAAGCACACAATTTTACAGCTTTGGGATTATTAATCCTGTACAGGGTTGGCTTTAATTTTTTAAAATTTGGATGCCAAGTATCAAAAGAGATTACTCAATTTTAGAGCTCTTAACAGAATGGATTAATGAAACTTATATCAGAAGGAATGGGGCAGGATTAGACTTGACTGGCATGAACATCTTCTGGTCGTTTGTCGTTTCTAGTGTGGCAATTGGCGCAATTATTGGTGCCTTATTAGTCCGGTAAGCATCTATCTGTGTTTAAGTTTAGCTTAAGCTCAAATTTAACCATCACGGAATTCACCTGACTGTTTTATGTTTACTAAAACAAGCTTCCTCTTAGTTCACATTTCGTTGAAATTAAAATATCAATAGACAAAATTTTATTTTATTCTTGCCAGAAATTATTTTCTGTTTCATATTTCAACGCTAACTTTTTATTATGCACCAAAGAATAGAAAAAACTGATAAAATAGAAAAAAAATATTTAGAAAAATTGATTGCGCGTAATTTGGTACAAAATTTTGGGAAATAATTTTTAGTAAAATTTATTAAAAATTGGAGAGTTTAAAAAAGCTATTTACAACATACAAAGAGAGAAAGAAGGTATAGAATTTACTGTATGAGAGCTCTAGACGGAGCTCTCATTTCGTAGCAGAATTTCAATGTTAGACTAAAAAAATTTTTATTTTATGCGTCTGTCTGAGTGCTTTGGTCGCCGAAATGCACTCATCGTCAATGGATGGATTAATGTATTTGGTGCTCTACTAGAATACTTTTCTAAAGCGATGGCATCGCCTGAGTTGCTAATTTTCGGTCGGCTGGTACTTGGAGCAGTAATGGGACTTTCGGTCTTTATTATGGGACTTTCAGTCTTTACTACATTTTCAATTTTAAGACAGGGTTGGTGCCTATGTATTTAATGGAAATCACTCCTACAAAGTATCGAGGAGCGGCTGGCACTCTTCATATGGTCTGTCATATGCAACATTAGTTTAAAAATCCTTATTAACTTCAAAGGTGGCAGTTGCATTTTCTGATTGGTTTTCACTCTTTATCGGATTACCTGAGGTGATGAATTGAATTAAATCTTAACTCATATTTAGACAATTTTTATCAAAAATTCTAATGTACATATAGATTCTAGGAAACACGCAAAGTTGGCCTCTAGCATTTGCATTCCCAGGCATTCCTGCACTCATGCTTTGTTGTATTCTTCCATTTTGTCCTGAAAGTCCAAAGGTATGGATGGAAACTAAAATCGTAATACATGGACCCGATAATTTTAAGTTTACTCTCTTCACGCGTGGAGATGCTTCAAAGGCTGTCTTAGATCTAAAACGATTTGTAGACGATAATGAGGCGGAATATATGTTTGAAGCTTTGGAACGTGAAGCTATAATGATTAATGTGAGTCCAAGCCTAACTCTAAATGAGACAGTCGAACATTATTTTAGGAAGGCCCAGGAACATATAAACAAATATTCACCGAGCGTTCGCTTCGAGTACCTCTACTAATCTCTATTATGGTAATGATCACTCAACAATTTACGGGTTGTTCTGCTGTTTTTGCCTATTCGACAGATATGTTTTTGAATGCAGGAATTAGAGGGTTAGTACTTTTAATAGAAACTAAATTAATGTTAACTCAAATTTTTAGTCAAATGGCAAGATTCAGCACTCTAGCTGTTGGAATAGCGTACTTTTTGTTTGCATTAACTGCCCCTTTTTTGATTGAACGCGCCGGACGGAGAATTCTTCTGATCGTAAATAATTTTATAATTAAAAGATTCACACGTTTTTAAGTTTCAATTATCAATGTGCTCGTTATCACTCACACTTCTCAGCTTCTTTATGTGGCTACAAAATTTTGGAGGGGTAAATTTGGCATAAAAAGCTAGAAATAGCATATTTACCTATTTTAGCATGTTTGGGCTGGCTATGCTACCATAGGTGCTCTAATTTTCTACATGTGTGTATACGGTATTGGTTGCGCAGTACCATGGCTAATAACTGGAGAATTATTTCCTACCAAATACAGAGCTTCTGCAATTACTGGTAGATTTATCTCTAAAGCTCATGTTCTTATTAAATCCTTTTAGTCGCGGTTTCCGTTGCCTGGTCTTTATCCTTTGTTGTCTCTACGTGTTATCTACCTTTTCAGCAGGTATAAGCTAACATTCTTATTTCAACTTAATGGGCTGATAAAAAGATAACTTAATTTAGCTTGTTGGCAATTCATTAAGCTATGTACCTTTTATTATTGTCAGTGGATGTGGAGCTGTTTTTGTATATTGGGTTTTACCAGGTTCTTTGAACTTCGAACATTAAACGCGAATTGCATTCCTTTCTAATTTTTATAGAAACACGAGGCAAACAAGCAATGGACATTGTTCGGGAAATCCGACAGAGGGCCAGATCACTAACTAGCGGTCAATCACCAATGCGAATTCAACCAGTAAAGGATACTCGATTTTGTGATGAGACAACTCCATTGTTAAGGTAGGTTAATATAGGGGTATTCAATTACTCTGACCCACATAATCAAAATATAATTTTATTTAACATTTTTTACTTATAGAACACAAGAAAATGGCACAGTTTAAAAATGGCGAAAATTAGTACATAATTATACGGCTATTCTCACTATTATTTCACATCAAGATTTGACTTTTTCAAGTTTTGTATAAATTTTCAGATAGTTATTTTTTAATTACTTTTGATCACCGTGGTATTATCAAATTAGTGATTAAGTTGATAGGCTGACTCTAAATGTTAAAAAATTATCTCGTTCTTAAAACTCAGACTCAGAAAACATTCAAAACCTAATTTATGCAATTTGCAGAGAAGCCAAACATACAAAATTCTCTATCATTTAGAACTTAATTATTCAACTATTATATATTATGCATTTATGAATTTATATTTTATGTAATTGTCTTATATCGTAAGCAGATATTGAGCTGACAAGTGTTTATACTCAGAGTTCAATAATAATATCAATTTATTTTTTATCAAACTATCATTAAAATTTCTAAAAAAGACCTATCGAGACTTAATTTTTTGCCTTTTTGACCAAATTTATAATTGAAATCTAATTTTGGAACATTTTTATGCGTTTTAATGGGTTCCTCGACCTTAAACTGATAAGAAACATTAAATATAAACAAGTAAAATCTGTCATGAATTAAATGTGAATGAAAATTTTGACAGTTCATAATTAAATTTTTCACTGTGGAATGAAATTTAATGTTTGGTTTTGTGACCTTTGATCACTAGATTTTTTAATTTTATTTGCGGATAAAATTTTGCGGACATTACAATTGTCCCTATTTTTGCCCAATTACTCCCACTATTATCAGACAAAATTGATTTTGTTGCTTATTGCCAAATTTCATTTATTTACACAGTTGGTAATAAATATAAATTATGTTTACATTTACTTATTATGTCTCGGTTTTAACTGTAATAATTGGAGGATCGGCTCAGTTCTATACGTATAATTTACTTATTTTTCCAAATCATAATGATTACTTTTATTAAGATATGATGTCATTAATCCAGCTCAGACGTGGGTATTTAAAAAATTAAAATGACTAGAGATCAGAAATACTTTCTTGTTTATGGTCGAGGACCTTGATCAAATATTAGACCTAATAATTACCCTATAATTACGTAATTACGTCTAGGAAAAATCGAGGAACATTGAAAGATGCTTTGAAATTGACCCTAGATTCAGGTAAAAATCAAGGTCTGGATTCAGATCCAGGCCGATCTCTAAATTAAACATCAACGCCAATCTCTTCGTAACGGGGAATATGCTCGGGTTGTTAAAATTAATATAGTGATAACTAGGGAACAAGATCGAGTTCAAAATCCCGGTTATCGAGAACAGCAGAATCAAAATTTAATAATTTATAATAATAAATTAAATTTACAAATTAGCACGCTCATAAAATGGTTGAATCAAACATATTCTTCGCGCGGTGAATTAAAGAGTGAAGCAGAGTTGAATATGGTATGGTCAATGATTGTTTCATGCGTTGCCATAGGTGCTATTTTTGGTGCGCTTTCTACAAAGTATTTAATTTAAATTAATTTACAAGTTTTTCAAGCACAATCTTAGGCCATTATCAAAAAGATTAGGACGCAGAAACGGATTAATATTTAATGGAATTTTTAATGTGATTGGAGCTTTATTGGAATACCTTGCCAAACCATTATCCTCTCCAGAGGTTTGATTTAAAAATTTAGTACAAAAGCCTAATTAATTTAAGATTCTCGTCATTGGTCGAATAATACTTGGGGTGAATATGGGTCTTACATCTGGTCTTGTTCCAATGTATTTAATGGAGATAACTCCGACAAAATATCGAGGATCTGCGGGCACGTGCCATATGGTAAATAATCATAAATAATAGTAATTATCTACGCTTGGTTTCAAGGTTGCTGTTGCATTTTCTGACTGGTTCTCGATGTTATTGGCATTACCTGAGGTCTAATAACAAATTTTCTTTAATAGGGATTTTGTTAGGTATTTGGTGGAGACGAAACATGGCCTATAGCCTTCGGATTTCCCGGCATAACGGCCTTTTTGCTCTGCTGTATTTTGCCATTTTGCCCAGAAAGTCCAAAGGTTTAAGAATTATTCTGAATTGGGAAAATAAGTTTTAGTTTTCATTATTAATCAAACAAGATAGAATTGCAACATTAAACGATATTGGAAGATTAGTGGATGTTCATGAGGGCCAACAAATGTATGAAGATCTAATTAGGGAGAAAACCAATTCGGATGTTAGTTGATCGAATTTACTTAGTATTTAATAATCCAATTTAATTCAAATTTCTAGACCAATGAGAATATATCCGTCTCCTATTTATTCACAAGCAAAGAGTTACGAATGCCATTAATAATCTGCGTATGGGTAATGGTTGCTCAACAATTTACTGGTGCAGCTGCAATCTTTGCCTATTCTACCAATATGTTTTTAAATGCCGGCCTCGAGCCGTAAGACTTTATAACAGTCGGAACTTACTATCAAAATTTATTTTCAGTCAAATTGCACGATTCAGCACCCTTGGGATCAGCATAATTTACTTCTTTTTTGCATGTTCATCAGTTCACCTTATAGAACGAAAGGGACGACGAGTATTATCACTTTTCCAGCTGAGTACAGTAACTGCTTCGTTAACGGCTATGAGCATATTTACATGGGCACAAGCTTATTATAACGTTAGAATTTGTTTTGAAAAAATTCGTTAGATTATAAATTATTCTAAATCTAATTTAGATAAAGCTGGCTAGTTATGGTGCAATTGCCGCATTACTTGCTTACATGTGTGGTTATGGAATTGGAAGTCCAATACCTTGGATGATTGCAAGCGAAATATTTCCAACTAAAGTTTTTTAACAATTTTAATGATTTGACATATTAAATTATAGTATCGTTCAAGTGCTGTTACTATAGCAATTTCAGTAGCTTGGAGCCTTGTATTTATTATATCGCTGGCTTATTTACCATTTAAACAGGTACAGATGACCTTCATCCTTATTTATTCCATGTAGGATTAAAGTCCATGGTTCCATATCTTAATATTAAGATCTTATTATTCATTGATATGTACAAGCTCCTCATTGTCGTATACACATTTAACAGGGTACAGCCAGGTAGTCACGCGGTCATAAAGGCGCAAAGCCATAACTTGCTTCAAGATTTCCGAATCTTAGCAAATTTAGTATTAAACGATTCCTCTGATCGAACTAAAGAGATCAGTACTAAAATTGATAAATTTGATAATTCATATTTTAGTGGGTCGGAGTTTCCGCAAGCTACCTACCGTTCATAATCGTGAGTGCAATAAGTACTTGTTTTGTCTACTTTCTGTTACCAGGTTATTTATTCAACCTCGTAATTAAAATTTGGAATTACAGAAACTAGAAACAAACATACAAACGAAATTGCTCAAGACATACAATTGCGATCCGATACAATTCGGCGCTATTCATTAAACATTCTTCCATCTGTAGGTTCTTCAATGGGGTAGGTATAATTGAAGATTATATGTATAAGGCACAATATACCGTAATCGGTAGGGTCTGCTTATAAGTTGGACTTCATAAGATATATGAATAGATATAGATACTGTATCGTTTTATAATAGCGTTGAGCTTAAAATTAATTTTTTCCATAGAATTTTGTCTTCAAATGAAGCTAGTGAAGATTCAGTAGAATCTCTTTATAAGTATGAGATCCATATTAGAGACCGACAAAATCGAACTTCCGCGATTCCGATTCAGGATTTTTATCCCGGATAAATCCCGGATCACGAAGGATCCCGAGACTCAAAAAATCCGCGTTTAGTGATCGGGATCCCGAAATCCCGTATGGATCCCGTCCCGTTCTGTCTCTAAGCCATATGACCGTTGAGCTTAAAATTAATGTTACGCTTAGAATTTCTCCTTCAAATGAAGCTAGTGAAGATATGCGGCAACATTTGATACCACGAACAAAAAGTTTCAATTCTCCATCTACTCCACCTTATAAATATTCTTCTTTTGCTTTCACACCACCTGGCGAAACAAGTAAAAACTTTTTAACAAAATTTTGGGGCCAGAAAAGATAATTTTAATGGGTAAATTATTATTGAAGCTGTATTTATTTAAAATGAATTTTATACTTTTGTAAAGCATATAGCTATTTAATTCCTAAAGCTGTGGAGTAGGCGGCGTGGTGTAATGGCTAATACATCGGTCCGGTCTACTGAAGATGCTGGTTCGCTCCCAGCTGAGGATTAACCTTTTGCACTAGCTAAAGGAGAGAAATAGCTATAGCCCAGCTGCTTTACTCTTTGTAAATACTTTGATGAAAATTAAAAGAAATTTATGTAAAGTGTTAAATTTTTGAAAAGATGTTACATACAAGATGAACTTGAATAAATTAGTCAAGTTTAGTGAACAAGTTTGACCACAACTAGTGGATGTTAAATTAGAAATATAGTAAAATTACTGAATAAGATAAAAAAAATCTCAGGAATATCAAAGAATAATACAGCATTCATTATTCTTCTTTTTGAAACTCTCATTCAGGTCATAATTATAGTGTTTGCCAGGAGCTCTTTCAGGTGTCGTTGGTTTATAAGGATTATATTCTTCATTAAAGCCGGTACCTTCCTTAATAGTATACCCAACCAAATGCTTGTCTTTTGATTTGCGAGAACGATAGCTTGAGTGAGATGATGAGCTTGAAGAACCTTCCTATAAAAATTAAATTGAAGGAAAATTAAAAAGATGTGATAATTACCGATGTTTTAAATGAAGTTGATAAATCATT